TAATTATTTTTTTACAGAATTTGTTCTCTGTTCTGGGGGAAAAAAATTCCTACTTATTTTGTATTTCTCTGAAATGACTAGCATACCATTGGCCATACAAATGCTTAACAAATACTTACTAATTGGATTTGAGCAGACAACGTGGAGCTGTTTGCAGAGAATGTTACAGTTTATAGCCATGCTTCTTGACTTACATTAGTATTGTACTTTAATTAAGATAGCCCTTTGGTTATGGATGCACTTTAGGAAGGCCTGTTCTGAGTGTTTCCCAGAAGTCAACAGAATCAGTTATATGTGTTTTGACTTATTTTTCTCTAGCTATATCCACAGAGGCAGACATTTTATCTGTGCTCCATTCAAGCATTTCAATTAGCAAGATATGTATTTAGGAGGGAAACAAACAAACAAACAAACCTAGAAGCATTTCTCAAACAAGAATCAAAGAATACCAGCATATATGTATATATATATATATATATATATATGGCATTATAACTGCCTTAACTACATTATTTTGGATAGTAAAGCCAAAAATATATATATACTTTAAAAACATTTTAATTCATTACTGTTAGTTGGAGAAGCACCTGCTCTTACAAACATTTATGAACATATTCTTGCTGTCAGAACAAGCTGCTTCCATTTATATTCTTTATCTGGAATGTTTTTCCACAAAGTCCTTATGGTCAGAGGGGTTAACCATGCATGATGGCCCTCGGCAGTCTCAGGAACCAGAATAAAATGTAATTTGGAAATATTTAAGTAAAAAAAATGTAATAAAATATAGATATGATATGTTTTAAAACTAAGTCAGTATGTAGCTTATTGTAATGGTACTTAGGTATCGATTAATGGCTCCATTTCTCTTTGAGTTTGACACCGCCCATCTAGGCCACCACATTTTGTCTCATTTACGCCATAGGTTCATAGATTTCAAACTTTAAGTAACCTTAGGGCTTATGTTTTCCAATTTCTTCCTTTTACAGATGAAGAAATTGAGGCCTTGAGAGGTTAAAATGACTAGTACGAGATGAAGGTTGTGAATAGCTGAGTTTCAGTGTGAGCTCAAGTCCTCTGGCTCCAGGTCCATTTGTTTTCACTAAACCACGTGGTTGGTTTTCAACCTCCTTTTTCTCTTTCCCCTGTTAACCTGCAAACTTCTTGAGGTTGTGTTGTCCATTTCAGATTTTGCTGATCACAGTATATAGTACATTTTCCCTTAGTAATAGCTGTAGATTGACCAACAAAGTGTGTCTGGAATATTCTGTTGTGCTAATCGCACAGTAATTTTTTCTGTATGATTTTTCTTATGACTTGCAATTACCCAGTTTTGCCTCGTTTTTGAAAATTATTTTTCTAGCTTTTTGTCATTCAACCTGGTATTTAAAGGCAACTCAACACAAACCCATTCAGCTTTGTGTTTAGTCAGTGCTTGGGGGGTAGCATATCAGTAAATGAACAAGCATTAGGCCCTGGAAATACACAAACAAAAATGAAACCACCTCTCTCTTCAAATGGATTATGTTTTATTGAGTTGAAATAGCATGTTCCCAGATAAGTAATTCCAAAATATATAGAAAATAAAGATACAGTCATGCTTTTGGGAGAGTCATGAGAAGCTAGAGGTGGGAATCAGCTAAAGCAAAGCTTTGAAAAGATTTGGGATTGGAAGAAAGAGACAGAGATGAAGTAAAGTATTTCAGGTGTGGAGGTGCAAGGGACAGCCTATGAAACAGCAAGGAGATGCGTGGTGGGAGGCTATATGTGAGGATGAGTGAAAAAGCAATTTTTCTGTACCCTACAGTATGTGAAAGAGAGTGATGTGTAATAACCTTGAAAACATAGGTTGGTGTGCATATACATATATGTACATGTATGTGTGTATATATATATCTATATGTGTAAACACACATATACTTTATTATTTTCTCTCTCTTTTCCTTATGACTTACCATTAATTTTTCTTCAATCTACCAATGCCATCTCCAGAGAACTTCTCAATATTTTTTAATGCTGTAGTTCAGTTCTGAGCTGGAAAGGTGGGTACTCTTTCATATTTAACTTATTTTTAACTTTATGGCATCTGAGTTTTTATTTTTGAGTCTTTAAGATAACTAATTTCAACAACCAGCTTTTCAAACCACACAAATCTCACTCCTTTGAAACTGACCTATAAAAGTAATTTGACTTTTTAAAAAGTTCCTGTTTTCTCAGAACTGACAAGTTCAGTTTTGTCACAACTGCTTCAGAAACATTGAAGTGTACCTGTGCTTTGATCACTGTGTGAAACCTTAGCCATTGGTTATCTTATAACCATGGCCAAGATCTATTTGATGCCGTGTGTGTGTGTGTGTGTGTGTGTTTTCTTTTCAGTTACCTGGTAATGAGAACCATCTCACCAGCCTATTGAGAGTTTTGCCTTGGTTAGGAGACAAAGTTTGGTAATAGTCACTGGTCTCCCTTTCCACTTAAAATATGTAGCATTTTGTCTCTAGAAAATGACACAAACACAAAAAGTAAATATCCTACACTTGTTGTGTGCCAAAAAAGAGGAAATGGGGACCTGATGCTATACAACTGAATTCCCCTCCTTCTAGAGTTTTAGATATAGCTTTTAGCAACTTTAAAGTCTCTTTGGACAAATGGTTTTCAAACATAGAGCATTTTAATTCATTCTTCTCAAATTAAATTAAAATTTTAAAGGTAATTTGCCAATTTAAGATCAAATTAAATCAGTTTAGGTTTATAAAGAAGCTATTTCTGGAATTTCATATTTGTGGCTGTGTGTCAGTTAGCTAGCATGTGTTATCTCCATTTGGGTGTTAAAATAATGATAAAGAGATACAGACTAGACTTGTGGTTTCACTGGTGTAGAGAATGCCCAGAGTGGGAAATTGCTTTTAACCATGCAGGTGGGCACTCTCTAGGTAATATTTGGTCTTAGAGAGTTACCTAGAGCAGAGGTGTCAAAGTCTTTGGCTACAAAACTCCTGAATGTGGACAGAACTTGATTACAATGTAATTGAGAAATGTTTAACAAAATAAAGATATAATACAATATAAATAATGTTAATTTATGGTTTTCTATGTCAGTATGCAACCTGCAGGGAATCCTTTCTATTTGAGTTTGGCACCAGCCTAGAGCAGTGACAAGTTAAGTGCCTTGCCCAGGATCATATGGCCAGTGTATGTCATAGGGCACATTTGGTCCTGTGCTCTTGGGCCACTATACCGTACTGCTTCTGAGAAGCAGATAAAATATATAAAGATAACATGCATATGACCTTCACCTAAGGATTAAACAGTCTTGAAATTCTGGAAAAAAAATCATTCTCTTTTCCTTTCAATTAGTTCCTAAAAGATTTCATGGCATCATTCAAAAAAAAAACCTGCAAAAATCCCCAAGATTTAATGACTAATACATTAAAAGTAGGACTTTGAACATATGTAACATAGATGTGCGTGTATATATATGTATGCATATGCATACATACATATATATATATACACAACACCGACACAGAGACTAAATGAAAAAGGGGCTTTTGTGCCTATAAACATGTATGTGAATTGTATCTTATTAATCTAATTTTGCAAATGAATGTTACCTCAAATGAATGTTACCTTAAATATATATAAATGTTATGCAGTAGAATGCAAACTTCTGGAGGTTAGGGACTCTACTGGTCTTAGTATGTAGATTAATAAATGTTGAGTTAAATTCAGTTTGTTAATTATATTTGGAAATCATAAATAAATTCTTGTTGCCTCTTTATGCAATTTTGTATGTCATAGTGGAAAGAGTGATGATTTTGAAATTAGAAGAGTTTGGGTTTAAGTCCTCCTTCTAGTCCTTAATGACTCTGTGACCTTATGCAAGTCATTTTAGTAATTTAGGTGTAATCTTCTTTAGCCTTAAAATAGGCATAACAATGTACCACTTGACTTCATTGGGTTTTTATGAGGAAGCTAGTAGACTGCTAGACCAGTGATTTCATTAATATAGGGAACTCCAGGACAAGGCACTCACTTGTATTGATACACATTCTATTCGTCTTGAAGGGTTGTTAGTAAGAGATTAGTGACTTGCCTAGGGTCACACAGCCAGTATGTATTAAAGACTTACAGCCAAATCTTCCTGACTTCCAGGCTAGTTCTCTTGCCAGCATCCACGCTGTCTTTGTGTTTGTAAGGAAAGCACATTTTTTTAAATGTCAAAGTGCCTTGTTATTATGAGTTATTTATATTGCTATTGACAATAATATTAAAATGTATTTGCCAGCTGAATTTTATTAATTTGCCATGTTTTTTGTTAATCGATTGTGTCTCTCCAAGGGAAAATATGTAATAAAATTTAAATTACAGTCAAAAAACAAGTTTAACATTGTGTAGACAAACTACTTGGATTGTTCAATAATTGATCACTTCCTGGCCTATAATAGGCACTATAGAAATGCTAGTTAATATTACAATTAATTATTTAGGTATCTTGTAATACTTTAGATTTAGCCATAAATTATGTTACTCCTCTACCCTTTCTCTTTCTGTCACATTCTATTGTCAGGAAGGTGATTCTCTGTAATTGATAAAACTGTTGTCTTCACTTTGAGATTAAAATTCCAATTTGGTAGTTATTTAACCACATCCCTTGTTCCTCTGGGCTATTCCTGTGGCCATCTATCAATTACAAGTATCTATCAAATGCCAGTTATATACCAGACACTGTTCTAGGAAATGGGGATACTTAATACAAGTAACAAAACAATACCTACTTGTAGTGACAAACATATAATTTGTCAGAAGAAAGAAGCAAAAGAAGAGCAGAGTGAGCTGTATTTCATAGAAAATCTATAAATCTTATGGCATGGTTCCATTTTTGTAACCATGCTATAAAGACAAACTTTTACTTTTATTTAATTGTAGTTAACACAATCTAGTTATTTCGGGATTCACTATGTATCAATTTACTAACTTCTCTTTCTCCCTATTCTTTCCCTCAGTTACTGGCTGACAAACAAAGTACCCATCAAAAGACCCAGCACTGGCCTTCTCATGTACACGCTAGCTACGCGATTTTGTGATGAGATTCACCTCTATGGATTCTGGCCATTCCCTAAGGATTTAAAGGGGAAAGAAGTCAAATATCATTACTATGATAACTTGAAATACAGATACTTTTCCAACTCAAGTCCTCACAGGATGCCTCTGGAATTCAGGACTTTAGATGGGCTACATAACAGAAGAGCACTAAAATTAACCACAGGAAAATGCATAAAGCAATAAAGCACATTTTTAAAAGACAACTCAAAACTGAATATGCACTTCATTCTGAGGATGTTAGTATGGGAGCAAGATGCAAAACAGAAGATAGGTTTCAGTATCCACTAAGCTTCTTGGGGTTTGAGGGGGGGGAAGGGTTATGAGACATCCATTACCAGCTGATGAAATGCCTATGAAGTGCTCTAAAAACTGTATGTTTTGACTGCAAGGGTCCTAGTAAGTGCCACTTCTACTCAGAACACAGCTTGAATGTATAATCAGCAGTGTTTACAAGATCCAACAATGCATTCACGTTTAATTAAAGAAGATACAAATGTGTTCATTACTGCTGGACTGCCCCCGTGACGTCAAGCACATTTGAGGGAAAACTAAGGAAGACAACTCTGCCTTTGGGGAAATCAGAACCTTCCTTGTCCGCAGAAACTGTGATGGAGACAGTTAAGCAGAGCAACCCATAAGATCAAACAACTCAAGTAAATGCCTTCAGTCAGGAGTTTGCGTCTAACATGTATTATAAACTAACATATTTGTTTTCATTGTTCTTTTCTTCTGGCATTTATTTGCTTTGGTATATAACAGGTCTTGAAAGATCCTAAACAGGATGATGTGTAAAGGGGGGGAAAAAAACAAAAAAAAAACTAAGGATTGTCAAAAAATGTCTTTAAAGTTATTTTTAGAGAGCTTACAAATGCTCAGAATGTTTAATAATGAACAACTGTAAGCCTCTAAATTATTTTGGATGATGAAAAGGTACCAGCTAAACTATCCAAACAGTAATCTTGAGCCATTCTAGACAGGAGTTTTCAGTGTTCTATGCCATCTGCAAAGGAGGTTTTAATTAACAAGGAGGTATCCTTATGTTTGGTACCAAAGAATATACTGATTTTTCTATAAAAGTAATGTTTCCCTTCATTGAAGTGATTGATTTGTTTAAGTACTGTGTTGTTATGTGATTGATTTGAAAATGCTATTGAAATACTTTTAATTATGAAAATTTAATACTTTATAATTTGCTTCAATGATGACCTGAAAATTCCTTACATTTCCTAACACATTGCTGAGCAACATTTTGCTCTTCTAAATGGAATGTTTGTTAAATACCATCAACTAAAACTTGGGCTCAAGTGGTTTAAGGATTCCTTTACTTAAGTGAGGATATTAATATTGTTTAATTTCCTCTGTAATACAAAAATAATATGATCTAGAGTGTGTTGATATCTTAGAAGTGGTAGATAATTTTAAGTAAGTTGACAAAGAATTTCTATATCAGTATTTTGCAATTCAAAGGAAATAAGTAACCTAGAACATGTAGTAGTTAAATTAGTCATGATTTCACTTTAGGAAATAAGAAATGAAAGAAGAATAAGAAATGAGATGATAAATAAAGCAAAGTACATTTTTTATTTAAATAGTAATAGAGTTGGGCAATTTGCTAGTCATCTGTTAGCTTAAATCATGCTATTAATTTGGAATTCTATTGCTTTTTTGGAAATAAAATAGGAAAAGTTCTTCATTCCCTGTTCTACTCTGTTTTCCAACATGAAAAGTGTACTTTATCTTTGTCTTCTAGTCTCCTAAAGAAGGCAGACTGAGGTGAGGTAAAATGACAAGAATTTGTGTGTGTATACACACACACACATGCACACACTTATACGTATTATACATATACACATATAAGTGTATATAGCACATAAACACTGTAGTATATCCTATGTATATGCCTGTGTTTACATACACATGTGTATATGTGTGTAAATGTGTGTGCATATGTATGTGTATGTATATTTATGATGTGCACATACACATATATACACACAAGCCAATATCCACATGCCGTTAAGAAGGTATATATACAGATACATAATAAATACTTAATAAATGTTTATTGGATACAAAGAGAGAAAGAATAAATTATTTTGAAAGTTCTATCTGGAAAAAGGCCAGCCATATTTCAAATATTACATATATGTATGCATATATATGTATATTTGTGTGTATATGTGTATGTGACTCAGATACTTTGATGGATTTGTGATAGATGAGTAGGTATTCCCTTCCTTTGTATAAAAGCAAGAAACGTTTATTAAGTACCCATTGCATGTAGAGGACTATGTATGGCAACTCTTCCACACTTCATTTATATTATGTAATTTTTGTCCATATTGTCCATACATTTTCCATAGGGGACCTGCTCAGCAAGCATCCCCTTTTTCTTTTCATATTTAGTAGTTACTAGTCTCCCACACTGGCTGAATAGCTGTTGTCCCTCAACTTAATGCTTGACTGTTTTGCCTTCTTTTGAAATCATACATGTCATGATGATATGTACATAACATGTGTGTTGTAAACTTTTTTCTTCAACCAGACCTGTATTTTCATTGGTTTAGGGGGGTCTGTGAGGAACCTCCTCTATCAGTGAAGATAATCACTTTCTCTTCAACTTAAAGTCTTAAAGAGTTGCCTGGGCCACTGAGATATTAAGTGTCTTGCCTAGAGCCACACAGCCAATATTGGCCAGAGCTGGGATTTTAATTCAGAATGTCATGATTCTAGGACCAGCCCTCAATCCAGTATGCCACACTGCCTTTCTCTATCTCTTTCTTTCCCCCACCCCCTTCTCTGTGTGTATATGTATGTGTGTACATCCATATGTATGTGTTATATACATGAACATGTATATAATATACACACATGTACACACGTACACTACAGAAAAAGTGTGTGTATATATGCAATTTGTTTCTACACGTATGCACACATATGGCCAGAAGGGCTTAGAGACCAATATTTTTATTTTACATATGAAGAAGCTGAAACCCTAGAGAGTAACTTGCCCATGATATATCACAGATACTAAGAACAAGAACCACAAGTAGTAAAGGAGCTTAGCTTAGTGAATACGGAGCCAGCCTCGTAGTTACCAAAACCTGACTTCAAATCCTAGCTCTGACTCATAATGGCTACAGGACTCTGGACAATATATTTAACCTCTGTTCCTGATCAAGTTTTGCAACAGTTGTTGCTCTGTCTTGGTAGAGGGAATCTTTTCACTGGGAATTCTTTATACCAATGAAATCACAGAATACATTTTTTAAAAAGGAGCAAAATCAATACTACCAGTATAGAAACACAGAGCTATATATAGGTACACTTTCATTTTAAAAAGTTGGAAAATCATTATAGTTAAAGGTGTTTTGTTATATGATATTAAAATACAGCGTAAACATTTGACTGAAATAACTTTTCCTGAGATTTTGCCTTTTCTCAAAAAGCATAAAGAAAATAGAACCTTTCAATACCTGAAATGAAGTATAAAAAGGGATGAAATTGGTCCACATCAATAAAATCATTAATTATATCTGAAAAAAAATTAGATGTATATTTTGACTGTTACTGATGAAATTGTTTGAAAAGTCAGCACTTAAGCAAATGTAAAGCAGAAAAGTTACAAAGACTATCTATTTGGACTGAGTCATACCTTGGAAATTCTCTGAATCCAGTCAGAGTTTATGTATTAAGTCCTATAAGCTAGGAAGGCTCATAGATACATTCAGAATTTCTCTTAACCAGCAAGAATGAAGGCAAACAAGATCCTATATTTCTTTTTTTTCAACAAATGAATTTAAGCCTGTTTTGTAAAGCCACAACAAAAGCATTTCTACTGTCCACTAACTGTGCATTGCTATCTATTTCAAAGATGAATTGAGTAGTGCCTTTTTAGCTTCTTCACATTTCTTTGTGACTTTTTGCTTGTGTTCTCCAAATATATTCCCCAGTTCTGAAAATATTCCTTCATACCAGAGTCCAGCATCAAAAACAAACAGAAAAAAAAGGGCTTCAGCATTGACTGAGACTACTTTTGTCAACCTCAGGGAGCTTTTAATACTTTGAAATGAATCCATTTAAGGCATTTCATGCTCTAAGTAGCAACTTGTACCATCCCATTTCATTTTCTACTATATACCTTTCCTTGTTCCCTTCTCCTTAACTATCTGCTATGGCCTTTTTTACAGGAATAGGTCAAGGAAATGAATAGAGAATAACTATATGGGCAGAAAGAGGAAAAAAATATCAAAATATAAAGGCAAGACTGGAGAATGTAGAGTAAAGCAAAATATTGTCAAATATTTGACGTATCTCAGTGCTTTGGGGACAGTCACATATTTCTCAGCATTAATCCACTTCTATTTCAAGATTTTAACCCTCTGCATGATACTGGAAAGGTCTGCACCAGGCAGGTGCTTAATTTAGTATTTCTGTCCTTTAACTATAAGACTTTTTGGGGCATGAGCAATTTGCAATTAAGCTATCATAATAATTGTTCAATACACTCAGTGATAGTTATAAAGTTACCAAAACACAAAGTGATCAGTCTCAAATGATTATGTTCTGTGATTTATTGTTTAACCTTTAGTATTTCAATCCACAGGAATGGATGCAACTGGGTAAATTGTGAACAAGTCTAAAAATTACTATGAAAATTCTATCTGGGAAGGACAGAAAGGGCTGGTTGCTCAAACTAATCCTTATGTTGTATATCATGTGAATTCTATATCAGTTGCTAATGGGAATATCTACATTATGCTTACCAAAAAAAGTTAGCAAAATCCTAGTAATAGTGTACATACCTATTAGATATTAAGATATTACACAGAAAGTGTACAAAGGAATTAGTTTTCATTTAAAAAAAAATGAGTCACGTGCACATGACTTGATATTTGGTCCATAGGAAAAAAAAATAAGTGTTTATTAGTAGAGAATATTTATCCTAACTCCAGATCCTAGAACAGTGCCTTGTACAGAGAAGGCGCTTAATACATACTTGTGTAATTTCTTTCTTGAATTAGGGAAAAGGCATGGGATAAATATGTATTAATTATCTTTACAGCCTTGGAAAAATTTCCTCATAAATCATTATATATTTACTAGTTATTTAAAGAATTGGGTATTAGAATAATTGTATTTGTTTTGGGAAAAAGTACAAAAGAAATCCAAACAGAAATGCATTTCACCGTATGTGTGA